CAGAGCCCCTCAAATCCCCTCAGAGCCCCTCAAATCCCCTCAGGCCCCCCAAACTCCCTCACAAAACTCCTCACAAATCCCCTCAGAGCCCCCCAAACCCCTCCGAAGCCCCTCAGGCCTCTCAGCCCCCCCCATCCCCTCACGAAACCCCTGCAGTTCTGCCTCGACCCTGCCTCATCCCCCCCCCTCTGGAGGCCACTCCGCCCCTTCGGCCGGGTTCCCGTCGCTGTTCCCCGACCCCTCCGGGGCTCCCGCACTCACCGAGGGGTCCCGGGGGGGTCCCGGGGGTCCCTCGCCCCCCCCCCCCCCACCCGCGACCCTCCGGGCGGGGGCCGCGGCCCGGCTGAGCCCTCAGAGCGCGCCAGCCAATCAGACCGTGAATTTCACCCGCTAGCCAATCAGTGCGCGGCGTCCTCAGCGTTTGCACCAATCAAAGTGCGGAAAAGCCTCGTTTGTCCCGCCTTCCTCTCGCCGCCATTCAGAGAGAGGGAGGGGTGGAGGCGCGAGGAAGCCGCCAGCCAATGGTAGAGCTGATCTTCCCACAGGCCCCGCCCACTCATCGCGGATAACCAATCACATTGCGCTATTTCTAAACCACGCCCTTTATGGGTGGAGCGGCGGGCGCCGAACGTGGACGGAAACTACCGAGAGCGGCGGAAACGTCCGAGCGCGCTCCGGGAACGGCCGAAGCCACGAGCGGCCCGGAGATCGGAAGGTCGCGGGTTCGAATCCCCGCCCAGGAACGGCGGCATTGGGGACACGGGGGGGACACCCCAAAAATGGGGGGGCGAAATTGGGCTGGATTTTGGGGGGGTCCCCCGGATTTTGGTGGTGAAGCCACCAACGGGGACCCCCCCACCGCATTTTGGGGTTCATCTCAATCTGAGCAAGGACCCACCCCCCAATTCCCAATTTCCCCCCCATTTTTTCGGGACCAGTTCCTGCATTTTTGGGATCCAAATCCCCATTTTTTGAGGTCAAATTCCCGCATTTTTCAAGCTCCGTCTCCTGATTTTTGGCTCCATCTCCCCGTTTCTCGGGGTCCAATTCCCCATTTTCGGGTTCAAATTCCCCATTTTCGGCTCCATTTCCCCATTTTTCGGGAGCTAATTCTCCATTTTTGGGATCCAATCCTCATTTCTGCGATCCTATTCCCCATTTTTGGGATCAAATCCCCATTTCCCGGGCTCCAATCCCAAATTTTCGGGCTCCAATCCTCAATTTTCGGGTTCCAATCCCAATTTTCGGGCTCCAGTTCCCAAATTTTCGGGCTCCAATCTCCAATTTTCGGGTTCCAATTCCCAGTTTTCGGGTTACAATCCCCATTTTTCGGGCTCCAATTCCCAATTTTCAGGCTCCAATCCCCAATTTTCGGGCTCCAATCCCATTTTTCAGGCTCCAATCCCCAATTTTCGGTCTCCAATCCCCAATTTTCGGGTTCCAATCCCCATTTTTCGGGCTCCAATCCCCAATTTTCGGGCTCCAATCCCCAATTTTCAGGCTCCAATCCCCAATTTTCGGGCTCCAATCCCATTTTCCAGGATCCAATCCCCAATTTTCGGGCTCCAATCCCATTTTCCAGGATCCAATTCCCAATTTTCGGGCTCCATCTCCCGCTTTGCAGCCCCCCCGAGCCCCCTCCCCACTCTCTGGCAGCGCCTCCCGCGGGGCCGCGGCGCGCTCGGCTGAGCCCGGCCCGGCCGGGGGGGTCGGGGGGGGAATCTGACATTGAGGGGGGGGCTCGGGGGGGATCTGACATCGAGGGGGGGGCTCT